GTGGGTGGGTGGGTGGGTGGGTGGGTGGGTGGGTGGGTGGGTGGGTGGGTGGGTGGGTGGGTGGGTGGGTGGGTGGGTGGGTGGGTGGGTGGGTGGGTGGGTGGGTGGGTGGGTGGGTGGGTGGGTGGGTGTGTGTGTGTGTGTGTTTGTGTGTGTGTGTGTCCGTGTGTGTGTGTGTGTGTGTGTGTGTGTCCGTGTGTGCGTGTGTGCGTGTGTTCGTGTGTGCGTGCGTGCATGCGTGCGCGTGCGTGCGTGCGTGCTTGCGTGTGTGTGTGTGTCGTGTGTGTGTGTGCGTTTGTTTTTACAAGAATGTCGGGGAGTGCTGAATACAGGCCCCCTCAAACAACAATGGGGCCGGGGGTCGACAAAGCAAATTAGGGTCAGAGTTCGGCTACTCAAGTAGTCTATCAACAAGTACTGCTTAGTACTTGTTTATGCTTGGTGGTGGACACGGAAAAGGAAGTGCTAGGCTGGGAGTTGGCCGGGAAGGGGTGATGCCACAAGCTGTCTGACAAATGCCCATTGAAAATAAATGTGACTTCGGCCAACTGGGAGTAAATCAGGATGTGTTTGGTGCCCAACTTTTCTGTATTTCCTCCTCCTTTTCCTTTTCAGGGTGGGGAATATTGGTGGGAACACTCTTCTGTGTTGCCTCCCTATTTACGAATCGCAATCGACATCGTCCTTTTCGCCTCGCTTCAAAGGGCAGCCCAGGAGGAATACCCCCCCCATTTCGCTTTTCTCCCCATTTCGACGCCGGCCATTCGGCGATTTCTTGGGTTCCCAACCAATCCACCGGCCAGGTCAGCGCCATCTCGGAGCTGGGGCGCCAGAGTCGGTGGCAGAGGGCCCAGGTGCTGCTGCAGAAGTTGGAGCGTCGGAAGCTGCAGCCGGAGATCAAGGCGGAGGGGGGGAAGTCGCCGCGCGAGCGAGCCGCGGGCTTCGGAGCGAAAGTTGCGGCAAGGGCCACAAAAGCCATCCGTGTCTCGCAGCTTCGGAGTTTTGGGTGAACGGGGATGAGGCTCTTTGTCTAGTAGGGAGTGTGTTCCTTATAACATAAATGTTTGCATCCATGTTACTAAAGCAAAGGTGGCAGGGTGAAACGAGCGCTGCTCAATTGAGCCACAATGAAAACCTGGGTAGATGAAGAGTCAGGGACAGTCCCAGCCACAAATAGGTGCAACCGCCCTTTGAATTCGCAGGGCTTTGGGTAGATCTGAGACACAATGGTAGGGCTCCGGGGGTCTGCATTAGGTCCCACCCTTGCTTGGTTTATACTTTTGGTGGGGGTTTGCAAAGGAACCAGCAGAAAACGAGGACAAGCACCAAAACAGTGCAGCAAGAAATGGGTTGGAGGTTGGGCCACAACAAAACAAACTGAAGAAAGCGAAGAAACAAACAGCCAGCGCCTTTAGACAAGAAACCCAACAACAACGAAGAAGCAAACAGAAATAACCTGAAAATACACCAAACAACTTGAACAAAACAACAACGAAGAAGCAAATTTAAAGCCCAGAACACAACAAACCCAAACTGAGGAAACTCCAAGTTGGTTCGTTGCGTCTTCCTTTTCGCCGGCGTTGTTCTGGCTGGGCCCTGACCTCTGAGGTCTTCGGCGCGCTGGTGGGCGCCTCTGCTTTGGGAGCCCAGTGGCAGCAGGCGCTGCAACTGCTGCAAGACCTGGAGACACGGAAGCTGCAGGTGGCTTGGGTGTGAGATGGCCATAGTTCAAAACCAATGGGATTCTATTTTGGGATAGGTGCACCACCCATTTTAGTTTATTTTTAGTGGGGATTGGGATGTTCACTGGGGGTTCGGGGTTTTGACCCATGGCCAGATGGGTGTGGCATATCGTGCATTCCCAGGCAAACGCGTTGCAGGTGCTAGCCAATCGCAAGTGGGGAAACTGCGGTTCGCCCCAGGCAAACAAAATGATTGTAACTTATATATCCTGTGTAAGTAGCATCCAAGTAGCTAGATGTGGCTCCTTTTGCTGAGGCTCGGTACCTTTTCTAGTTGTTCCCTATTCGATGGTTTTAAAGCTCAGCTTTTGGGCAACTTAAATTGACAGTCGTTTTGTGTGTTGTTTGGAGGTGGTACCCTTTTGGGAACCCCTTGCTTTTGGGGGTCCCCTATTTTGAAACCTACCCAGTTGGTTTTGGAAGATTTGGCCAGCAGGCTAATGGCACTATGTGTTGGGGTTGTTATTATCATGGTTTCAACGTACCTGTAGTCCTAAATGCAGTGGATCCAAAGATCACCTTCTTGGCTAATGTTTTTGTTGTTCCTTGAGGGTTCCTTGTGCGGAGCTGGTTTAAAGGGAAACCTAAGGGAGCAAAAGCACAATAAGCACTGCGATTGAAAGAGGGTGGTAGCAACTTGGCACAAGAGTTCCTTTCGACCTAGATGTGAACCAGAATTGCTGAGCGCCGCTCAAACGGGAAGCTTGTTTGCAAAAGTGTTCGCAGTTACTGTACCTTTGGCCCATAGGGCTCGAGCTCGCCTGTGGACCCACTGGCAAATGTGTCTAAAGTTCTCGCTATGAGGCGGAGGCATATCGGGGTGTTGTTTTGAGGGTAGCCCTCTTATTTGGTTGTAGGGAAGTCAACAGGAGAACCCCCTGAAAGAAGGTTGGTGAAACACAAGAGTATGGCGTCAACACAAACGGGTGTGCCTTGTTTGGGGACCCCCTCAAAATGGGTGGGTGTCCTTTTCGTTTCCCTTTAACAAGAAACCCCACAAAGCAGGTTTCCTTTTGGGCTCTTTTTGGTTTCCTTTTGGTTTTCCTTTAAAAAACCCACAAAACCTGGGGGTAGCAACTCCAAGAAGCGACCTCTCCGTGGCCATGGTTCCAGAAACCAGGCGAACGATGTGTGCTGCAACGCCGCCATCTCGGCCTGCGAGAGGAGTCCGAGTCGATCTGGAGACATCGTATGGTTCCACGGGTGGATTCCCCCTTCTTTTCAATCATCGTTTGTTTCAAGAACCTGCCTTTTTTCCCTGGGTTTCTGGAGGTTTTCTGGAATGAAGGATCCCTGGAAAGAATGTGTACCTTTGGTTCGGCGAGCCGCAAACCCCCCTCATGTTTTTTGCGGAAAAAAGGGACAGCCCGTGATTTGTTGTGGTTTGAGGAGGGATTTTTCTATTTTTTGCGCATACGAAAGAGAAGCTGCGGGGAAGCTCTCCAACCTACCGAAAGAAGGGGCCGGTGGTAGCCCTGAACAAAATGCAAACGCCCTTCAGATGTGGTAACACTGCTTATCTAGTTGATATGAAAGTGAAGCCTCGGATGGTTCCATATCTGGGGATCTGTTTTTTGGCCAGGTTCGCAGAACGGAGCCAAAAGAAACCCGCGGATAGTAACGTTCGACTTATCAGAAAGAGGATCATCAAAAGGAGGACCATACCAATCAGGGAAACCCCTCTTGAGTCGAGAATGAAGTCAATGGGATCAGAAAAACATTGAAACAGAGAAATGGAATCCGAAACAGTTACTAACCAGAAATGTAACGATATATAGTATGGCTACATACTATATATGTATTTATTGATTTATTTATTTATTCATTCATTCATTCATTTATAGATTCATTCATTTAGTCATTTATGCATTTGTGTATTTATGTTTTATTTATTTATGTCTCCGGCGTGTACTTCTTTTTTGAATTTGGAATGTCCTTGCATTGTTGTGTGCCTTTTTGAGGGTACTCTTTCTCAGGTTTGTTCAACGCGAACCACAAGACACGCCACCGTTTTATTGAGCTCAAGACACCCACGCATGAATGCCATCAGTTGGACATTTAGCCTTGAAGTTTTTAGGAAGCAAGACGGTCTCTGACAGGGTTTGGGCCAAGAAAACAAGACGGTCTCTGACCGGGTTGAAAAGTTGTTAGGAAGATGCGTTCTAATACGTGTCCGTTTTGGTTGTTTTGGAAGAAACATAGATGGCCCTGGTTTACCTGGTGGTTTAATCATCTACCAGGGAACCCATCTATTTCCCCTAAAAGGACACCCATGCGCGTTCTTGTTTTCCCACCCTACAAAACCAGCGAACCACCTTCTGGTTGCGCGCGTCGATGTTCGGAAGGAGCCAAAGGCCTTCGGAGGCGCTGCGGCTTTTCGCAAGCCTGGAGGACCCAGATGCTCAGTTGCAAGCGACTCCGCGTGGCTGCGGTAGCTGAAGGTACCCTTTCGTCACACGGCGCCTCGTCGATGTGAGACTCTCGTCACAGGGGCATGCCGCCCCAGGACCGATAGACAAGGGGGCAGGTTGCTTCTCCAAACAAAGCGACCCCAGGCCGGGAGCAATACAAACCTGGGCACTGTGGCAAGGGCAAGTAGCCCCCGCCACCCGCCACATCACTGCCCAGGAGGCACCCGACATCGTGAAAAGCGGGCCAAAGCCCATGGGGGAGCTTTGCAACATCCCCATCCTTAGGAACACTCACAAAACTAAGCACCAGTGAAACAGGCGATCAACCAGGAACGCTGTGAAACGGTGCCAAGGATGTTGGTGCACAACCATCGCCAAACCTCCAGCGTTCCCTCTGCCGAGCCAGGGATTGCAAACAACATGTAACCAGGACTCAAACGGGGCGACGACAAAGCCCACGAAATGAAGGCTGCCACGAAGGCCATGAGCCACTCGATGAACCTGCTGCCGACCTCACACCACAGGAGTGGCCCACTGAAGGCTGAACCGCCGACCGGGTGCTCCACGATGAATTCCGCTCAAGCTGCACTAGCGCCAACACAGCTAAGTTCCTGCGAAGTTCGCCCAAAATAATGAAAGGCTGAAACGCCAAGGCTACCGGGAATGAAGAGCAGCAGCACCACAAAGTATTGATCCCCGCCGAAAGTGGCTCGGGAGGTTTGCACCCGGGCACGTCGGGCAGAAAAACACCACCAAGGAGTGAAGGCAGAGAGCCGACCATCCCCACCACAGGGATGGGCACATGCAGCGGCGCCCAGCCAAAGCCTTCCACACACCAGAGTCACCAGAGCCAAAGTGGAGCAGCCCAGGGCCTGAACAGCGAGGTCGCCCGAGAGTATGGCACGACAGAGGGGGCACAAGGCCACCACACCGCACAAGGCCAAAGAAAGCCAACAGGACCAACCAGCCAAGGACAGCACCCGAGGGGGGCGCGAGGACACCAGACGGGGCCGGCAGGAATGGGTGCCCGCCTTGGTAGACGCCAGACGCCCATGAAAAAGTCGCCTGGCCCAGGTTGCCCGAAGACCTAAGCTACGATGACCTGAGAGCCAGGGCACCCTTTTTTGGGGGGTGGTTTTAAAGGGATGCCAAGGAGTGTTTCCAATTTTTCATGCCCACGGTGGGTCAAATCACTTTTTCCCGCAACAGCTGAAAGCTTTGGGAAAAGGTGCAAGCTCTGGTTCAGAGCAGCTAGGGTTGGGTTCAGTTCCGGTGTGCACCCTGGCCCAATAGGGAGTTGACGGGCATGCGTCTCAGTGTTTTCGAGGCTCGGAATGGATACCCCCCTTCTAGGGTGGCTAGGGAAACAATGAAAAGCAGAACTGCCATTTTGGGGGTGTCCAAATATTTTGTTAACACTGACATGAGTCACCCGGAGAGTTTCTGGCAATGGGAACCCAGTTGACCCATAAACCCCTGGCTGATTGGAGGGTCCGGATGAGTGTTGGGAGGTTGATAAATCGGGGTCGGTCTGAGCCCACTCCGGGAGGAGATGGGGGGCAACCTGGGGACCACGCCAGTTTCAGGGGTTGGATGGATCTGGGGATGGTTTGAAGGCTCCAAGCATCTGCCTGAAACGGGCTTCGAGCTCACCGATTCGATCATACGGGATTCCTGATCTCCGGGTTTGGATGAGCTTCTGGGCTTTGTAAAAAACACAACTTTGAGAACCTTCCGTGAATGTTGCTGGGCAGCCGCTCACCTTTTTGGGGAGAAACTAACCACACCAACCTCAAAAAGATAAACACTTTTTTGGGGGCAGGGGACAAAGAGAGAGCCATCTTTTTTTGGGGAGAAACCAAACACACCTCACCAACCTGCAAAATATAAAACACTTTTTGGGGCATAAACCAGCCACTAGGCGTCCCCTTGATTTAAGGATGTGATCGCCTACTCTGGCGTGATCTCCGCGTGCGCGCGGGCCCACGCCTGGGAGAGGACTCAGGAGCTCCTCGCCGAGTTCCACCAGCCGCTCGAAGATGAAAGGCTTCGCTGTATCTGGGGTTTTGCTGGGGATACCTGGGGATACCTGGGGTTTCCTGGGGTTACCTGGGGGTTTCCTCCACTACGACTTGGGGTAGAATACTAAATATGGGACATTGATGTCTGGCTTTTTCTCCAATAGTACTTTGTATTTCAGGCTGGACAAAATGAAACATAGATTTCTGGACAAGTCAAGAGCTTACTTGGGGCCAAAGCGAGCTCACCCGTAGCCATTTTGGCTCAAGTCTGCTGCTGATACAGCTCATCGGGATTTTCTCTGCGGCACTGGAGCAATGACTACCTTTGCTGAGGTTGTTCGCGACCTGGGAGCTGTCCTGAACGGCGTCGAGGAGGCCGGCATCGCTGCCGGGATCGACATCGTGAGGTCTGATGAGTACAAGCTGATCACTGACCTTACAGCGCCGGCAGGTCAGCGCACCATTGTCGCTGCTGCTCTGCATCTGCCAGTCCCGAGACCGGCCGCTACATCAGGGCCATTCACATGGCAGCAGGATTCTACGCAATTCAGCAGCAGGGATGCATCTCGCTCCCCGTGACGACTGTGCCCACGGCTGACCAAGTCAAGAGGGTCGCCGACGACAAGCTTGAGCCGCTTGTTCAGGGTGCAGTGACCCTCCTCCTCTCCACGAAGGTTTCGTGGTGGCAGACGAATCACCACATTGGCGCGGGCGGCGGGTTTGCCACTACGATAACACAGAAGTGCTTTCAGGCACTTGTGGGAACTGACGCCGACAAGGTGGACCCGAGCTCATCGCTTCGCATGTCCACGGTGTGGCGCACGCTCTCTGCACTCGTGACATCTTGCGTGCGTGGAACATGTGCCCAGGTCGGAATATCCGCGAGTACCCGAAGCCGACAGTCGACTTTAGACCTCCAGGCCCGAAACCTTCATAGGTCTTTTGGAGTAGGGACCCCTGGGCTGTGCTAGTCCTTCCACCGGTCGGTGCTGCGTCCATCAAGCCTCCAGGCATCCCCGTCTTTATGCCTGTCCAGTGGCCTTGCTGGCGGTGTGTGGTTGTGTTGCTCTTGTGTAGTTGCTGTGGGCCCTTTTCGGTATGCTGTGGGTGTTTCTGTCTCGGTTGCCTCCTTGGCTCTTCCTGACAATGCGATGGACTTGGGGTCGTTGATGCATCTCCAGGTCTTGGATCAGCTTGGCAACGTGCACGTGATGGACGTGCCTGATTTCCTGTCTGTCTTTCAGGTCCGCCTGTCCAGGCTGGCTCTGCCCCTTCTGCGCTCGCCCACCGTGTTCCTCGTCGCCAGGACAAGATGGCCGAGCAGATGAATGGCCGTTTTGATGATGTCGCTCATCAGTTGACCAAGATCCTTGGGGCAGTTGCAAAGCATCCTGTTGAAGGTCACACCGGCGTTACGCCGCCTTCCAAGGCGGCCAGGTCGTCTTCGTCTTGACTACGCTGCCTGGCGGGGGTGCTCGGCAGCTTTGGCGGGCTTGTCGGGTTTTTGGCTTTCGCCCCCTGTCTCTCGTGGTCCTGGGGAGGAGTGCTCAGTTGCGGCTTTGTGCTTGTCTGTGCTTTCAGGCTTGGGTGTGTACTTGGCCCTTGCACACATTTGGACTCTAAGAGTGCTATAATGTTGGGGAGTGAATAATAAAGGGCCCCCCCCCAACAAAATGGGGGGGGGTCAATAGAGAAACCCCCTAAAACAAAATGAGGGTCAGACAGGGTCTTCCCTAAGTAGTATTCCAGTAAGTATTGGTTGGTATTGGTTTAGTATTGGTTTAGTATTCTTGCTGACTGGCTTAGTACTGCTTAGAATTGGCTTAGTATTGGTTTAGTATTCTGGTTGACTGGCTTGGTACTGCTTAGAATTTGTTTAGTATTGGTTTAGTATTCTTGCTGACTGGCTGAGTACTGTTTAGAATTGGTTTAGTATTCTTGCTGACTGGCTTAGTACTGCTTAGAATTGGTTTAGTATTGGTTTCTGGCCCCAGTCCTAAAAACTTTTCTCAATTAACTCCCCTTAAACAAATCTCACTATTGGCTTGCTGGGTGTTCCCTGTACTACCCCCTTGAAAATTTGGCAGGGTGCAACTTTTAGTAAGGGCTGTCATAAAGAATTTGGCTGTTGGGGACCTCAGTTAAACTTCCTTTTCAGGGACTTCAATCATCATCTCCTTGTTTCTTGCATCTGACGGGGGGGGGGGGGGCGGGGCAGAGAGAGACAGGAGTTGCACTGAACTAGGGATTAATTATCACACTTTTTTTTGGGGAACATTTTTCCTGATTTTTTGCCCCTCACAAAAACTTTTGTGTATTAACTCCCCCTTTTGCTTTTCAGGTGTGTGAATATTTTTTGTGTATTGACTCCCCATTTGTTATTCGCAACCTACCATTAGCGCCAACCCACCAAACAGGACGCCACCGCAACGCAGCGCAACAGATTGCCAAAGCCACCAAGGGGAGAACAGCCGGGCAAATGTTCAAATCGTCCCCCAAAAAGGGCCCTCATCTGACTCTGCCGGCGAACGTCTTGTCTCCGCCTCAACCCAGGGTCCTCAGGGCCCCGGGCGACACGTGTCACAAAGCAAAACAAAGAGCTGGGCAAAGCCAGTCGATGTCGAAAAAATACTGGCGAGCGAAAAGGCCCAGTCTTGAGCCCGGAGGCCTCGGCCACTTGCTCTGCCAGCTGCGCGAATCCACGCCTGCTGCTCCACCGGTGAAACAACAAACTTCGCCCCTTTCCAAACTCCCTTGGGGCAAGCGAGCTGCCCGCTGCGCTTGGCCTTGCCAACTTTCACTGATAATTGTGTCAGGCCAGATGGAATGTGCTGTGAAGAACAAGGCAACAGGTTTTAGTGTGAACTAAACATGAATCAGAATCTGAAACTATATGGATTTGTGTTTTTCTTTTTTAGGGGACCTTCAAAATCGTGGTTTTCCTCTGGGTTGCCCTTTAGAACCACCCAACAATGGGTAGCCTCAAAAAAGCCGACACCATTTGGTGTAGCCTCCAGTTCATTTCGGATTCGAGGAAAGGCTTCGAGGCCACCTATCGGGTGCATCTGGCGGAGATCTTGGTGCGCAAGGAGGCGGCGCAGTGTCAGCTCTGGGAGGCCGCGCTGGCCTGGGCCGCAGAGCAGGAGTTGGATGAGGAGACACCGGCTACAAAACGTTGAAAGAAACGAGTCCTTTAAGGAGGCGGCTGTCCGCCGAAACCGACAAGGGCCGGGTTTCCCGCGTCGAGCTTCGAGGGCTTCATGGGCTCGAAGAAACACATTCATCAGCCCATGCCGTCAGAGTCAATGCAAATTAGTCAGGGTACGGACCACAAGACGTCACGCTCGAAATTGGGTGTTGGTTTTTTCTGCTTTCCCTTGACACTGCTTTCCCTTGACACGTACTCTTGTGATACCCTTGAAATCAGAAGTTCTCAATTTGGTTGCATTTAGCTTAGTCTCCAAAAGTTGAAAAGTTGTTTCTTGGCCCAAGCATAGTTTACTCCTAGAAACCTGACACTTGCTTGTGGCTTAAAGTATCCCACACGAACAAAACTAAATCAATCTCACCAGCTCGCTTGAGCAGGAGGTATTTACTAAGGTTCCCCGATGGCCGGAGGTTTCATTTTTGGCTTAGCGCCGGCTGCGGCTCGGTGTTTGCACCGGCTCGGGCACGGGTTGGTTGGTTCCCCCCCCCCCGCAAGCACCAACAACACCGTTAGCCAACGAGCCAACCCCAACGGACCAACTGGCTGACCGACCGACCGACCAAGCAACCAACCAACCCGTGCACGAGCTCAGTCTCGTAATCTATTGGTAACTACTTGCCGAAGTTCATTCCCAAACCCCCAATTCTTTGCTGAGAAGTCAGTACTTCCCTGCAAATCCACATGGAACCTAAACCGTGCGTTTTTTTTGTTGGTGTTCTTCCATTGGTCAGGGGAATAACCCCCGCCCCGATTGGTTGGCAAGTGTATCTCATGACTTGGGTATTCAAAATTAAACCACCAGGATATGGGCCGCAGCTTTTAGTCCATGTTTCCATTCATCAATTACCAGGGCAATCCATTTTGGACCCATTTTGAGTTACCCTTTTTTTTCCCCCACCGCCAGTTGCCCCATTGGCCAAGTAGGACCGGGCCTGCGTGCTGGTGCGGGGCTGCGGTGCTCAGTGGCCCAAAGCTTTGGCCGTGATGGCGGAGACGGCTGTGGCGCCCACCCGGCGGATCTACGACAGCATGATGAAGGCCGACGGCTTGGGATAAGCTGTTGCAGGGCCAGGTGGTGTCCAAAACTTGGGGAGGGGGGGGTGGGGGGAGCTTCCAAAAATTGGGAGGAACCACAAACATTCCCCGCGCATCTGCCGCGGGAGCATGAGGAGAAGAAAGGGAAAGCACCAAAGCCTTGGCATTTTTCGGAAACCATGTTGGCGAGTGATATGACGGCCATGCAGGAGGCGGGACCTCCAAACTGATGCCTTTCCTTTTTGTTTGCCTTTAGACCAGCCTGAAAAGGATACCCTCAAAGACTCGAAAGACTTCGCAAAGTGACATGGCGCAGGTGACGATGGCAGGGGAGGAAGCCTCCGACGCGGACATGCTGTGGGATTGAGAGGCCAAAAATGTGGTGCGCGGAGGAAGCACTCAGGGGACTCAAACTCGACACAACTTTTAGTTAAACATATTACGAGGTTGTCAACATTAAATGGCGGCACGCACCGGCGCCGGGTCCAAAAAGACGATTGGAAATGGAGCTGGAGCACTTGTGGGGTAGACGTCAAGCGGATTGTTTGCTCACTGGTGGACTGTAAGCTTTTGGGTCTTGGACCGGTTTAGTGATAAACACGAATTAGAGTTGAGACCTTTTCAGGCCACAGTCAAGAAATGGGCTTTTCAAATGCTGGAAAGCGGCCAATCCTTGATTGTGTTGTCGCCTGCGAGTGGCATGGATGCTTTTTGGTTTTGGCCGTTACCTGAAAAGTCTGAAGAATGGGGGCTCCAATCCTCCTTTGTAAGTTTCTTGATCTACATGTACCCTGATGCTTTCAGTGGGGCCGAAACCAAGACTCAGTTGTTCAGTGGCACCCTTTTCCCCGTTTTTTTGGGTGGCTGCCCCACTAAAAATGGTCTTCCTCAAAAAGGGTTCCCGTTTTTTTCCAGCGTCACTGAACAACCGAGAAGATTTCCAGCTGCTTGGCTTGATCTTCAGCCCTTCAGCCCTCGTTTATTTTTTTGGGGGGAAGGATTGCTTGGGCGACTAGCATGAAAACATGTGTCCCCACAAAGGATCGAATTTTCTCCAAAACGGAACGCCCTATTCAGCCACGGTTGTTTTTTCATCCGAGTGATTTTGGATCCCTGTCGCATCCGATGGGCTCAAGTGACCCGCAGCAAGATCGGGGCCCAGTTTCATGGTCTTCGGAGTGGGCCATGAGCGTTGAGAGCCTCGGTTGCACAGCACCTTTGTTCATTGACTAAGGTCGCCTGTGTGCCCTTCCCGCTCCAATCGGGATACGTGTCATAGGATGTTGCAAGTGAAACGTTTGCTCTTTGGCCCTTTTGGGGTTTACTTTAACCTTTCGACCAACAAGTTAACTTTTTGCAGAACGAAGTCTGGCCATGCTGATTAGGCTGGAAATCAAGGGAGGGGCCTTTGGATTTCAGTTTTCACATGCCCCAGACAAGTCGCCGCTGGACTTAAATCGAGTTATTGTTAGGCGATGCTATGTTTGAAGGATATGTAAGGCACCCCTTTTTGAAGGCCATGTTGGGCTTTCCCATGGGAGGTTGGTTGCAAATGAGGAGGCCAGCCTCCCTTTGGAGCACCCGCTTGGCGAATCTGGAAGCCGACTCATCAGTGGTGACCTACACGGGTGCGATTGCCGCGTTGCGCCCGAAGCAGTGGCGCATCGCAAATCTGATCTTGGCGAAGATGGGCCTCAGCAGGTCAGGGCTTGCGCAGAACGCACGTGGACTTTCAACACAGGGGCTAGGCAAACAAATGTCCAAGCAGGCAACAAAGATGTATCAAGGCAGGGCGGCGAACAAATGATGCACATCCTAGTTATTTTTGTTTACTGTTTTGGTTTTTTGTTTTTTTTCTAGGAACATAAGGTAAACACTGCCGAAAAAGACCAACGAAGGCCAACATGCGGAAGGGGAAACTCCTGAATGCATGGTGTTGTTGGAGTTCCGTGCTTGTTCAGGTGAGTAAAACAGTGTGCTCTAAAAGAGAAACCAAGGAGACTTGGACCCCAGCAGACCCAATCTGGTTCACGTTGTTTACACGGATTTGCGAAATGGGGGTCCGATTGTGTGAAGGAGTGGAGTGGCCTGGGCATCCCCCCACCCTAGGAGTGAAGCCTGGGTCACCAATCCAGGTGGCACCTAGCTCGGCCGAACACGCAAGCACTGTCGACCCCGGATGAATCCGCAACCATGGGTCTAATCAGCAAGGAACCCGAAAGCCACACAAGAGGAAATTCCCTTTAAAAGTCAGGAGAGGGGCGGGGGGGTACCCTCAAAGAAAGACACACCCATGTGAAGATCCCTAATATACTGCGCCTCAAGGACATGTATTCGGGTGGAATAGGGGCTAAAACCCCGAAAAACGAAGGCGACCCTCTATAACGAAGCCTACAACAAGGAGAACCCCACTGCAAAACGAAAGCGACCCTTTAAAACGAAGCCTCTCGAGATATTCCATTTTTGCACCTGTTCATTTTGCAGATAGCTCATGTGGATATGGGTCCAAATAAAGCCAGGGGACTACAGGTTTTAGTCATTGTTTCCATTTACCAGGGTGCCATTTTGGGTACCTATCTTTGACCCACAGCCATGTGGAATACAGATTCCGTGGATTCACCAACCAGGGTTGACTCCTTCCCATTCCTCAGGGTAGAGGCCAACATCGTGACGTACAGCAGCTGCGCCAAGTCTACGCCCACTTCCTGGCCCCGTGCTAGGCACCTCTTGTCACAAAGCCGCCAGGCGCCGGTGCCCCGAAAAAGCTGCCGGGCTCCTCCAAAATGTGATCCATGGCGTGGAGGAAGGCCCTCCCTAGGAGATTGGCCTTCCACAGAGGGGTATTTTTTTAGGGTAGACAAACTATGGACAGACTCCGAAAATATAAATTTGGCGTAATCTGGGCTTGGTATCGGGACCCAGAATCCGACTCATCTAAGTCTCTAAAGTGTTCCAGCTGATCCTTTCCCGGGACAAATTGCGAGCCAGGTGCAGTTGCAGCCCGACCTTATCTTTTGGAATTCAAGCCTCAGCTGCCATGCCAGGGTCGCTTGGAGGTTTGGCATGAGACGCGGGCGCGGCATTTTTTTGTTGGTTCCTGTTTGGAGTCCCTATTCTAAGACACACCCGCGTCTTTGTACTGTGTTGATGGTTGTGGATGGTACGCTGACTACACATAAGTCCTTAGGGAAAGGAGTTGGAAAGCCTACAATTTATCGCGAATGACCAGGGTTTTGTGGTTGTCCCGAAACATCCTGCACCAGTTGGATGACAAGCCACCAAGCGGTGCGTAGTGGATCTTGTCCGCAGCAGGTTTGGGGTTTGAAGATTGACCAAATGGTTCCATGTGTGTGTGTGTGTGTTTGTTTTTTGGGGGTCCTTCGTCTTGTGGTTTTAAACGGAACCAAAAGGAGAACCACTGCTGTTTTTGTCTGTTGTTGTTGTTTTTTTGGGGAGGGCCTAAAAAAACACACACACACACACACATATCTAGTTAACTGCCCCTCAAAGAAACCAACAGGGATGAATGGATACTTTGGTATGTGTTAAAGCTATTTCGCAGTCAACAAAGGTTGCGCAGTGGCTTTTGGCCGTGAACCTGTTTTCTGGACTTGCGTCCGAGCAGAGGGACGTGTGCTCCTACAACGCATTGCTCAGCTCGTATCAGTGCTCAACGGAATTACCCTCCCTTCCACTAGCATGGCACCTGACAGAGGGCTCCATTGAAGAGGAACATCATCTTCCACGTACCCTCCCACAGGTGCTATGTTGCTATGTTAGTGGAAGAGAGGGTAATCGTTTTGCCTTTTTGCGCTTTTGTTTTTTTGGAGGGTGCCCTTTTCAGGTTGGCTTATTTCGGCAGGTGAAATTGAGTTTGGGGTTTCCCTCTCTGAGCTCGCAGGGGCCCCTGTCAGGTATGAGGTGGCCCAGGAATGGCAGCGCGCATCAGATCTGCTGAGTCTTGGTTCTTTTTTGTCGTTAGACATATTTTTTGGAACATGAAGATGTTTCCCACTAAACAGCAAAAGTAGATATGTTTGGACGGGATTTAGCCATTCAGGAGTGAGGTTGGTTGTGACCGAGTTCAAGCAGACGTGATCTCTTTCAATACCACCATGAGTGCCTCTTGGTTGCTCTCGAATCGACCTTGGGGTTGTCAAAGTTGGGTAGGGTTGTTTCCTGAACCTGCAGTACCGCTCGGCAAAGGGGGTGAAAGTAATGCGGCCACTGTGTTCTTGTTGGCTTTTTGTGTCATTTGAAGAGGTCCCAAGAGGCTACTTCTGCTGCTATTTCCAGGTGTTTTTTCCAAGTGAGCCTTTGCTCCTACCTTTGAACCTTTTGAAACATGGCCATGATTTTTAACAGGGAGCCACCTCAAAAGTGATTGCTGGACATGAATCCCCTCCTGAATGATGTCCACCACCGGGTCCCTAGAATTCATACCCATATGCCGCACAAGCTCGCCTCAAACTGTCTTCCAAGAGGCGTCCGGGTGCACCAAACCCGATTTGGCGATGGCATAGCCACACCATTTCCCGGTGTTTCTCCTCCATTTTCGGGGGGACGTCGAGGAAACCCACGTGTTTGGGAGTGCAAGAAAACCCCACCGAACCCTGCTGGTGGCTTCCTGGATCAAAACACACGCTTCATTCTCCATTGGGAACGATCCCCCCAATGAGCACGGAAAACGTGGTTTTTGTTGTGACACCCCCCAAAATATGTGTTTCGTTTGCTTGCAATATGTGTCTTTTAGTTCATTTTGGTTTATTCATGTTTGTTGGTGCTAGCAACAAAACCAACCAAACCACCCTCGCTCTTGTTTTTCTTTCTCCGTTTGTTCTTGTTTGTCTCTGTGTGTGTGTGTGTTCCCCCAGACGGGGGTAGTAACAAAGGGGTAAGTCCAGCTGAGGCCTATGGGAAGTCCATGTGTTGGGAGGAAGCCTTACAGCTGCTGTCTGCCTCGGACGCCCCCAATGTGATCTCGTACAGCTCTGCCCCTTGGTGAACGGACCTTTCGAGGCTTTCCACCGTGGGGATTATTTGTCAAGATACCCACCCTTTCGCAAGAAAGGCTCTCCATTTTGGGCGGTTTGAAGGGAAACCAGAGGAACAGCACCCAGTGAAGACAAAGTTGGTTTCCAAAGCAGGGAATCAGGAGAAAACGGGGTACCGTTGCAGTAAGCCCCTGCGCGGGATGGTTTCGGAATAGTGCAAACATATGGTGTTCATATGCAGGACATGAACTTAGACAGACTGGTCTAAAGTTTAAACCGGAGTTGCTTCAAGTTGCCTTTGACCTATTGACGCGCGCGGATTATGTGTTTTTGTTTTTTTGGTTTATGTGTGTGTGTGTGTGTAGATGCTGACATATCAACGAAAAAGTAGCACCGCACTGCAGCCGCGGAAGGTTCGCGGCTGCTTGTTTTCATCCGGAAGCTCACGGAAGGGACGTTGCTGTGGTTTGACTTCGGTTGGGCGGTGTTGCAAAGCACGTGTACTAGCAAACTGTGCACACGAATTCCCTCGAGGAAGCCACCTTCCTCACTTTCCAGAAACCACTTGCCCGCGGAAGGCCCGCGGAAGAACTTATATAGAAACATGTTCGCGGAAGGGACGCTCCGCGCAGAACGGCTTGATGCGTCAATGCAAATAAAAAGGGGATACACACCACCACTCAAATGGTTGACCTTGCGGGTTTCCCGTTGGCTATCCTTTGGCAATGCTGGATTTCCATTGCTTGTTTGTTTGTTTGTTTGTTTTATTTTCAACGGATGTTCAGTTGTTTTTTTTCCCACTTTGGGTCTTCCAGAGCTTTGTTCATTTGGATTTTGTCAATGTGTTTCCGAAGTTTGTTGATTTGTGAAAGGTCAACCTCCTTTTCCGTCCCGCATCATTTGGAGTGAGGCGCTGACTGCCTGCGAGCGCAGCGCCGGATGGCAGCAGGCGCTGGCGTTGTTGTCTGACACCCGAGACAGGGACACGATCGTTTACTCCGCAGCGATCAGCGCGTGCGAGAAGGCAGGCCAACAGGGTAAAACACATCAGATCTTTGAGTGACCCTAGACGGTGTTGGCGGGTTCTGAGACGATAGCTGGAACCCGTCTAGGGTCCCTGAAATTTTGTGCTTCCCTTCTTGTTTGTTTGATCCCGCTCTCTTAGTTGTTCAGTTTCACCAATTTGTGCTTTTTTGTTCAATAGGCTGACGAAAAGCGGTCAACCCCAACAAGGCTCCCATCTTGTGTTTATCCCAAAACAGGGCCAACCCTTTCTTAGTTCCTTTTTGTTTGGTGGGTTGGGGGCTCGCGCAAAATGGGATGAACCCGCCCAATGCCGGAAGGCGGATCAATGGCAGTCGGCCTTGCGCTTGCTTTTTGAGTTGGAGAAGAGTCCCACTTGCAACCAGTTCGTTTTGGTTTGCAACCACAATTGTCTCTATGTGGGTTGTGTTTTGTTTGTTTGGTCTTTGTGCTTGTGGTTTGTTTTGTTTTTTGGTTGAATGTCTTGTTGTGCTTGTTGTGCTTGTTTCTTTGTTTGTTTGTTTGTTTGCTTGTTTGCTTGTTGGTTGGTTGGTTGGTTGGTTGGTTGGTTTTGTTTGTTAGTTTGTTAGTTAGTTAGTTTGTTTGTTTGTTTGTTTGTTTGTTTGTTTCTTTGTCTGTTGGTTTATTGGTGTTGTTTGTTTGTTTGTTTGTTTGTTTGTTTGTTTGTTTGTTTGTTTGTTTGTTTGTTTGTTTGTTGGTTTTGATTGTTTGTTTGCTTGTTTGTTTGTTTGTTTGTTTGTTTGTTTGTTTGCTTGTTTTTGTCTTCTGCTATTTGATCGGTTGGGCTTGCCCTCCCAATGAGCCGAGCCACCCCCTTTTTGCCTCCATGTGGTTTTCGCACTGGCTGGCTTTTATTTGAGGAGACTCCCCCCCCCCTTTTTCCCACGTGGCAGTTAGACCTCGAATCATCACACCCCTGCGCCCCATGTGGTTTCTCCAGCTTCGCGGTGAAGAGTCAACAAAAATGACCCCAACATATTTTGAGACTCCATAAAAATGGAACGGGGGGAAGGGCAGGACCATACTACCCCCGCCCAGCCCATTTATAACAAACGACTGGGCTGAAGAACAGGGGGAGCCATACCACCCCCCCCCCTTTCCCTCGGAAAAACCCACCGAGGAGCGGCAAGAAGAGCGACCTCATTGCCTACAGCGCAGCCATCAGCGCCTGTGAGAAGGGCCGCCAGTGGCGCCAGGCCCTGCAGCTTTTTCGCCAGCTGCGGTCCAAGGGCTGGCGCGTGGACTTGAGCCTCGCTCGGATCGCACCCGCTGAGTCACGTCGTGCGTCAAAGCGGAAAGAATGATGGACCATTTTGGAAGCCAAGTGAAGCAAGCGCCAAGACAATACCCTCAAAAAATCACGGACCCACTTCTTGGTGATTCACATACCCTCAGACTTTTAGACTCACAGAGTTGGAGGATTCTTATGTGATATCCCCCTGAATGTTTAAGCTTTAGCAAGGGATCAACAAACTAAGACGAGGGTCGGTCCAAATATCAATAGATTGCCCTCCATTTCCGGGGCACATGGGGGGACTCGCAAAAGTCCCCCCCCCCCCCCCCACACACAAGGTAAAGAACTTACAAACTTACAAAGTGTCCCATGCCCGTCGGGGAAACCGCATGAAGATTGGGGGAATGAAAGCACTCAACTTTAGCTCTTCGGTTTGCAATCGATTTGGGGTCCAACATGAAGCTCCTTTTCATGGGAACTGCTTGGTTTGGATTAGTTTCGATGATGAATGTTGTGTTGCTGAATTCTTCCAATCCCAGATGTGATCTTTGGGTGAAACGTGAAGACACGTGGGAACTCAACAAGCAGTTCCCAGGATTTCGCCCACGAAAAAGCCAAACCGATGTTTTTAACATCCATGAAATAGGGGGTTCGCCCTGCCTTTGTTTGACGCTTTCGGTTGACTTTTGTCATGGTTCGCCTAAGCCAACGTTCGGGAACAAACATCCGAGGCTTCCTTGCCCTAAGAACAAGAAACAACCGGGTGGAAAATGGTTGATTAAATCTGACAGGTTCTAGGTTGAACGTCGACCAAGCAAAGTTGCAGCCTCCTTGAAATATGAGGAGCCTGGGAAAACCCATGGGACATCCCCGAAATCTTACTTGGGTGACAGATGGCACAATTATCCCCAACCCCCCTATTCCGTAACACCTTCCCCTGTTTCCCCAAAATAAGACCCAACTAAGCCTTATTCTGGCCGTATGTGGAGCCCACAGCAAGGAGGGTGGGGAAGGGAGGGTTTGATTCCCATGCTGTTAAGGGAATGGTGCCATCTGGAGGTTGACCAAATATTCCTTGCCCTCAAAATCACGGATGACTTTTTCCCATTTAGTGCCAAAGTAATTTGTTGGTTGGCTTTTTCCTATTGATCATCATCCCATGTGAAAGGAGCTTTTGATCATCTACTGGACCCGGTTCTATTGACCTGCCAGGATCGCGTCGTTTACCCACAAACCAAACAGTTTCAAGCAGGGTCAGCAAACCAACTGCTTAGGGATTGGCAAAACCAACGGGTCAATGGTCATAGAATCACTGCTAAGAGTCCCCAAAAGGGGTCCCCCAAAAGTAATGTGCTCTTTGCTCAAATGGTACCTAAAAAGCGCTATTTAAACTCTTTTTGCCACAAATGGATATTGCTCAAATAGTGACTAAAAAGCTAGATTTGCTACATTTTGTCTCTGGGCACATGAACCTTGATGCTGCCACTTCATGTTCAAGGTCGGCAGTATCACCTGGGGCTATGGACAATTGGCATGATGACCCAAATGCTACTCAAATACTCCAAAACACATACGAATTTGAAGATGTTGGTCGAATCTGCTCAAATGCTGCTCAAATGCTACTCAAATGCTACTCAAATGCTGCTCAAATACTCCAAAACACATCCTAATTTGGAGATTTTGCTCAAATGCTACTCAAATGCAACTCAAGTGCTACTCAAATGCTACTCAAATGCTACTCAAATGCTACTCAAATACTCCAAAACACATCCTAATTTGAAGATTTTGGTCGAATCTGCTCAAATGCTACTCAAATGCTACGCAAATGCTCCTCAAATGCTACTCAAATGCTCTCAAATACTCCAATACACATCCTAATTTGAAGATTTTGCTCAAATGCTACTCAAATGCTACTCAAATGCTACTCAAATGCTACTCAAATGCTACTCAAATGCTACTCAAATACTCCAAAACACATCCTAATTTGAAGGTGTTGCCCAAATTCCACGAAAAAACCTTTAAATTAGGTGTCCCAGGGTATACCAACCCCCACTCAATCATAGGATCCGGTCGTGGGTTCCCAATGTTTACCCCCCCGCACTCAATGTGCAGTTTTGCTGCTTTTAAGCGCTTAACCGTTGGGGGACCCCTTTTGCGGACTCTTAGCAGTGATTCTATGAAATGGTCTTCAATGCTTAGGATAACCTACCACGCAGTCCTCAGCGCCTGTGAGAACGCCGGCAAGTGGCAAGAGGCCTTGGACCTTCTGCGCGCGGCCAATCACGAACTGCAGATCTCAACCATGACGTACAACGTCGCCATCTGACCGATTTTGGTTTGCCTTTTGTTGAGGGTATGGACCCCGTTTTTCGGGTGGTGTACAGGGAAATCGAATTGGACAACCACCATGTGTTATTTTATGTTATTTTCTTTACGCGTGTTTCTGTTTTTTTGGGTTTGCACGTGCTGCTTAGTTGAGGGTACCCTTTGGGGGTTGGCAGTACAGGGAAAACAAAGAGGAACTCAATTGATATTTGGGGGTTCGGCCAAGTTGGTTGAAAGCGGTTAGCGCTTCGGTCACAACACAGTCATAGGCCCCATAAGAGGAGCTAGTGCGGCTGTTAGTGGGCGAAATGCCAACTTGAACATGGCCAAACACACCCTTTTTAGAGTTTTTGACCCAACCAAACCCATCCAAACCAAACAACACCCATTCCCCCCACTCGCCCACCCACCGAGGCCATTAGCGCCTGCGAGAAGGCAGGGTGGCTGAAAGGATACGTTTTGGCCACATGGTCATGGAAAACCGGGGGGGCGAGGGGCGGGGGGGGAAGCGCCACTTCTTTTTACATTTCTATTAAGGGGATCCCGTTGAAAGTGACAAAGAAGTCGTAGGGATGCCCGTGCCTAAATTCTGCACCACCTAGGAGCCCCAGCTAGGTGCCCTTTCTCCCCCCTTTTTTGGTTGGGAGGGAAACCCCTATATACTAAAATAGACTGCAGAAAAACAGGCCCCGCTGGTAGGTGGGTTATCAACCACCTGTCCATCCACCGCATCAAAGTCATGTGCTTTTTCACCATTTGCACTTGGTTTACTTTTGGTTTCATCTTGCTTTCCCAAAACCACCCAACCCGGATCCCTATTTCAGGTGTGCCTTGGTTTCTTTTTCGGGTTTCCCAAAACCCCCCTCCCCCCCCCCCCCTCGCGTTTCAGGCGTGTCAATGGCATGTGGCCCTGGCGCTCTTCGCAGATCTCTCGAGAACGCCTTTGCTCGCGCCGGACGAGTTCACCTTCTCCGCGCTGCTGATGGCCTGCGCCGGGGCCCCGCGGTGCGCGCGACGCGCGACTCGCTTCGGTCGCCCACTTGCTGGGAGCTCGGGTGAAGGGGACGTGATAGGACCTCTCACTCCCCGAGTTCCCCTGGACTTTTTGGACTTTTTGGGTTTGGACCGTTTTAGTGGTAGAGAACAAGCTTGGACTTTTTTCGGCCGATCCACTCAGGAAGTGAGTGTTGGTGTTTCTTGGTGGCTGGATTAACCAAAACTGGACCGAACCAACAAGTTGCGGGGTCCATGGTCTTTTTTTTTTCCCCACGGTCAGTGAAGAACTGCTCAACTGAGTACACAGTACTGTTGACCCCGGAGTGCAAAACCTGGCAGAGCTTTGGGGAGGGGACGTGCCGGCAAGAGTGAAGGATTGCTTCTGACAGGGAATGAATCTGGGCGCGTTGCTATAATTTCTCGCTTGTCTGATCTTTGTGACGCAGGGGTTTCTTTAGGCAGCATATGCGTCCTGAATTCAGGTTTGTGCAATTTAAGTGCAGACGGGCGGAAAATGAGATTCTAGAACCTCCTTTTGTGATCCCAACGTGCCCAATTCAAATGTCCGTGACTTTGTCGTAAATGGGTGTGTGTTGTTTGAGGGTACCCTTGTATTATTGTTTTGCGGAGCCTTTGACGCGCACCGACTAAGGCGGCTGTTGGAAAGGCGCGCCTAGCCTTAGCCCTGGTCGCGGAGCTCTGTGACCGCAGCGACGCCGTCACCTACGAGGCGTCGCTCCGTGTCGCTGCGCACCACGATCCTTGGCATTGCCAGATGTTGACCTGGTGTGTCATGGCAACCCCCCCCCCAAAAAAAGTTTCACCAGCCTCGACCCCAAACAGCAAAAAAGCATGACAGGTCTGTATAACCCAAAAAAAGGCTTGTCTCCTTCATGTAAGCTGCGAAATTGAGTAGCTTATGTGAGCAACACATAGTTACAATCAGTCCATGTATGTCCCTGTAGGAAGTACCCTTTTTTGGGAAGAGGACACATCGGGTCCATCCATCTCCTTGACGCCGGGTAAAAGCATCGATGTTGTTCATCGACTTCGAGGGCAAAACGCCATGTCAATGCCGCTGGTTTTCGGTTGATTGTTGATTTAGGGTTGGTTAGGGTTAGGGTTAAGTGTTAGGGGTGTAGGAAAGGTTTAGGGTTGGGGTTTGGGTTGGTTGCAGGTTGAGTTCGCCTAAGTGTCGAGATGCAAGGGTGCGAGTTCAGGGGCCCGAGTGGGGACCGTAGCAGCGGGGTGTGGGCTTGGGGCTCGTGGGACCCTACCCTTGAAAGGGGGGTGTGGTTGATCTCCATGCAACCATCTGGCTCAAGGCCCTTTCTTGTACAGATTGCACCATTCATGCGATAGCTACATATTGTTGCGTGTTCGAGAGTGAAGGCCCCGGGGATTCGGGGTGAATCAACCTAACACCTGGCATTAATCAAAGGAAGTTTTGAAGGAACTGTCGTAGTACGGACACCCAATGCACTTTCCATCACCGCAGCATTTGGTGGCCGTCTCGCTACTCTGCTGAAACTTGCGCATCAGTCTCAGCAGCTTGCGGCCGAGACTGGGCACGTGCCACTTCTGGTTGCTGTCTTCTTCTCAAGCTCGGCTAAAGGTCTTGCCACAAGCACATGCATAAACTTGCAGACTGCGCCTTGTGGCATTACGGCCGGGACATCCTCGACTAGCAACGCAAACACATGCCGCAATTGGCAAGCGTCAGCCCGTTTGGCGCGCACCTCTGTCACCCGGCACAGCTCCAGAACATCCGCAGTGCTTGGTCATCCAGGGCGTTCATCTCTGTCGTGTCCAGCGCGCCGCATGCTCCCGAGATGGCCAACGCATGGCTTTGCTCCATGCGCCCAACGCCGCTCCATTCTGGAACAAGCTTGGCTTTGAACGTCAGCTCCAGCCCTGCTCCATCTCGGAAACCCAATGCTGGCTGCACAGTGGACACCACCAGCCTGGCCGGGTTCGTCTTGGAGTTGGTGCTTATGGTTTGCAGATTGGTGTTTACTGCAATGCACGCCGCTGGCCGGGTGTGTGAACTGTTTCCAAGTTGTCAAGGTCAGCAAAAGTAGGTTGCCAGGAAAAGGCTCCTACGCATCAACCGAGGAGAACTCGACAAGCGCAGGGACGATGCAAACAACTCTTACGAGCTAATGGTTTGGCTGGGGACCCGACTCACCCAAGCTTTTCCAGGACAATTCTTTCTGAAAGCAGCTCAGTATCAGCCGTATTTGTCTATCGAAACCAGTCTACATAATTAAGGCTCGACAGGGCTCTGCTGATGCGCCACAAGGATGCAAACCTGCACTTGGCCAAGAAGTGCGGCGCTGGCTTCCAAAAAGCTACCAGCCGGATGTCACTATATTTTGGTTTTTGTTATCGAGAAACATAGGCATATTAAAGGCTCGACAGGGCCCTGCTGGTGCGCCACAAGGATGCAAACCTGCACTTGGCCTTCTAAAAAGCAGCTCAGTTTCCTGAGCAAAGCAATCAGCCGATTGTCACGATTTGTTTGTTTATCGAGAAAATAGACATATTCAAGGCTCGACATTGCTTGCCTCTAGCTCCAACGATGCTCCACAAGGATACAAACCTGCGCTTGACCAAGAGAGAGGCACATCCTTTGCACACGGGCTAGCAGCAAAATCTGCGACACGCCCTTTCCCCGTTGCGAAACATTGTTGCAAGTGGTGCCTGCTGACTTGTCGAATCTATGTTTCTAGCTTCATGCTTCTCAATTGCGCTTGCGAGCTGCTGCCACGTGAGCCGAAGGGAGCCGAAGGGAGCCGAAGGGAGCCGAAGGGAGCCGAACGCCGGTTACTGCATGCCAAGCAAGGTCAGCCTCAAAACTGGGTAAGAAGAAACAGGTTCAGCTGGTTTTGCCCGGGACCTTCATTTTTCCAGAGAGGGCTGTAAGCAGGCAAACAGCCAGCTGGCAGCAAGCAACGTCAGCTCCAAAACGCGCAAAGAAGAAAGCTTCAGTTGATTTTGCCCGGGGCCCTGTTGAGGGCTGTAAGCATTAAACAAAAGCTGGCAGCAAGCAAGGTCAGCCCCAAAACTCGCAAAGCAAAGAAGCAGCTTCACTTGGCTTTGCCCGGGACCATCCTTTACCGCAGAGACTGGGAGACACGGGGAGAGAAGCGAGAGACACGACCCCGGAGCCAGCGTCACAGCATCTGGCATCTGACCGCAGAGACTGGGAGACACAGGGAGACAAGCAAGCGGGAGACAAGACCCCGCAAAAAAACACGACCCCGGACCCGGCGTCACAGCGTCTGGCATCCGACCGCAGAGACTGAGAACAAAGAAAGAACGACAAGCGGGAGACACCACCCCGGAGCGTCACAGCATCAGCGTCGCAGCATCTAGCATCTGTCGCAGAATCTAACATCCAGACAGCATCTGGCATGCGACAGAGACTGGGACAAGCGGGAGACGACAGTGTCATCCGACCGCAGAGACTGGGAGACGCAGAAAGACAAGCAGGAAACACAAATCCGGAACCAGCGTCGCAGCATCTGGCATCTCTCCGGGGCGGTGTCTCCCGCTTTTCTTGCTGTGTCCAGTCTCCGCGGTTGGATGAGAGATGCTGTGAGGTGCTTCTGTGTCTGCCAGTCTCTGCGGTCATATGCCAGATGCTGTGACGCTGGCTCCGGGGTCGTGTCTCCCGCTTGCATGTCTCGCAGTCTCATGTCAGACGCTGCGACGCTGGCTCCGGCGTTGTGTGTCCTGTTTGTCTCCCTGTGACGCTGGCTGCGGGGTTGTGTCTCCTGTCTCGCATCTCCCGTTTTTTGTGACGATGGCTCTGGGGTCGTGTCTCCCGCTTGTCTCCCATCTGCGACGCTGCAGCTGTTCCGTGGTGATGGGCCACTACACGCAACGCAGCAGGCCGAAATCGTCGCTGCAGTAGCTCGGCACAGGCCTCCCGATGATGAGACGATCCGATTCACGTCCTGCGAGGAAACTGGCCTGCTGCATGCCCAGAGCAGCAATGCCCTGCGACTGGTCCTGCTCGACATGCTGGTGCAGCCGATCCTGCTCCGAGACGCAGCATTCCCTGGACTCTCAGCCGAATGCAGCTGGCCTGAGCTGAATGATTCCAACCCTGACAATTGAGCGCGGACAGCATCCCGCTTCCATGCTGGTCGATGAGTACTGCGTGGACAAGAGCGCCAGGAGCTCGTAGTCGGACATGTTGCTGCTGCTAGCCTCAGATAACGTCTCGCCTGCTCTGCTTCGAGGCGGTCGGATGTGACGCTGGCTCCGGGGTCGTGTCTCCCGCTTGCGACACTGGCTCTGCGGTCGGATGCCAGATGCTGTGGCGCCGCCTGCGGGGTCGTGTCTCCGGCTTGTCTCCCTGTGTCTCACGGGAGATGCCAGACACAGGGAGACAAGCGGGAGACACAACCCCGGAGCCAGCGTCACAGGGGAACAAGCGGGAGCCAGCGTCGCAGCATCTGACATCCGACCGCAGATGGGAGACACAGGGAGACAAGCGGGAGACCTGGAGCCGGCGTCACAGCATCTGACGGGGAGACACAGGGAGGCAAGCGAGAGACTGGGAGACACAGGAAGACAAGCGGGACACACGACCCCAGAGCCGGCGTCGCAGCATTTGACTGGGAGACACAGGGAGACAAGCGAGAGACTGGGAGACACAGGGAGACGAGCGGGAGACACGACCCCGAGCCGGCGTCACAGCATCTGACGCGGAGAAACAGGGAGACAAGCGAGAGACTGGGAGACACAGGGAGACAAGCGGGAGACACGACCCCCGAGCCGGCGTCACAGCATCTGACTGGGAGACACAGGGAGACAAGCGAGAGACTGGGAGACACAGGGAGACAAGCGGGAGACACGACCCCCGAGCCGGCGTCACAGCATCTGACTGGGAGACGCAGGGAGGCAAGCGGGAGACACGACCCCGGAGCCGGTGTCACAGCATCTGGCATCTGACTGGAGAGACTGGGAGACAGGAAGACAAGCGGAAAAAAGGATCCCGGAACCGGCGTCACACTTTCCCATTCTCTAAACCTCAAGTTAGAACCCCAATGCTTCGCTGTTTGGGGAAAAAAGGAAAAGAGAGGGAAAACGGCGGTTTCCCTTTGAGTTCCGTTTTCAAACCTCTCTACAAGGCAACCCGTTGGTCGTTTGTTTGTTTCTGTTCTGTGTCAGGGGGCTGCTGCAAAGCACGAGATTTCCTGCGAGGGCCATCTATTACCGAAAAACACAGATACTTGTCCTTATCCCTTGTCTTCACCCGGAAAAACGTCCGTACGTGGCTCCGATTTTCTCTCGAACTTGTCACTGATGGCAACTGGCTTCTGGTCCCATGATTCTGTGCGTTTACAGCCCGGGCTGTCGCCGGTGGCCGAGGACCCCCACCAGGCCGTGGCGCTGTTGGCCAAGCTCAAAGCGGACTTTGTGCGTCGTACGTTTGGAAAGCCGTGAGCCAAGTCGCAAGCTAGGCTGACGGGTTACACCAGAGTGTTCCCATGGTCACTCTAATCCAGTTCCAAAGGTTTCCCCCATTTCTCACGTACCCCAAATCAAACCCTGGCTGATGTTCGACTATTTTGAGGTATAGTCAAAAACTTGGAACCAGAGACTCTTGCTGGTCAGTGCATGTCTTGCTGGCTTTTGAATGCGCAAAAGAGGCCGCAGCCTGGCCTCACAAATTTTGATCGGCAGACCAGTCGCCTGCATTCGGGTAGGCTCTGTTGAACTTGTTCAGCACCAGATGTACAGGCGTCGCGCACTTTGATCGCTAAAAAAGGGCGATGCATCGGCGAATAGAAGATTGGCATTTGCCCAAACTTCCAGTCGGCAGTCAATTGCTAGTGGTCACTTTGAGGACTTACGCTTGACATTTTGAGCTAGTGTGAGTTTGATAAATTTACATCGTCCCGAGTCATCGGTTGTTCTAGTGTTGCCCTTCACTAAAATGATGGTGTGGAAGACATTCAGATCCTAGTTTTAGGGTTGAACTGTGAGCAAGAAATGGCGGCCAGTTTCAGGATTTGCCTGGCTTCTGAAGACTCATTTGCTAGGCCTCGCTTGAAGCAGTCGGCTTTTGAACTGGCATCCACGCGAGTTTTGGTCCAAATTCTTGCTTTTTCAATGGTCCATTTGGGAGGGACATGCGACATGGCCATGGAGGCGTTCATTTATCTACGCTCAGTAACGGTATAGTTTTGGCCCGGAAATGAGAGCAACACCTTCGCATGAAATTATATTGGCTGCAAACCGCGGGGTAAATTGCAAAATCGGAGCCACAAATGATTGGCTTGCTTTTGCCAGTGGCCGTTACAAACGTGCGACCAATGCCGCAGGGTTAGATGCAGATTTTAACTTTCTAGCCCAGATTTGGTCATATGTTCAGTGGGTCAACTCTTGTTTCCCCTTGGGCAAGCGTTCCGGTTGTGCCAGTGGCAATATGGGTACTCAGGGCCCGGGGACACCTTGGTCACAATTCTTGTCATTTTGTGGTTTTGGCTTGGTGCTTTGTTCCCCTTTTGGCGGGGGGGTTGGCTTTCTGAAAGAACAAAACAACTGTTGCTCACAGTGGATGTTGTCAAGACTCACGCCGGGTGCCAAGCTACCAACCACAGTTTCAAATCGGGGTTGTGACGAGCGGCGTGGATGCTATCCATCTACGCCCAGTGGCGCCCCTTTTTCCTTTCTTTTGCAAGGGTCACCCTTTAAACTCGACCAACAAGCAAAGGGTGCCCTTTTTTCCCATGGCCACTGGGCATCTGAGTACGGTAGCAACGTACACCCTGGATCACTCCTGGCAGATTCACGTCGTTTTCCTCCAAAGCAAGGAGGGCTTCAATGTGGCACTCCCCTCCGTCAGCAATACAAGGGCTGAATAATTGCTAACGGGGGGGGGTTGTTTCACCCCTTGCAATCGATACTTGATTATTATTTTTGGAGGGTACCCCTCTTTTGGTGGCAAAGGGGAACCAAAAAGGGACACCGAAGCCATTTAGCCTGGTATTTACACTGTTCTGGAAGAATTGGAGCGGTAAAGCTGCATTTTTGTGAGTCCTTCTGAGTCATCTTCGGGTCGTTCACTTCTAACAGGGACGAGGCACGGGCACTCCGATCGACAAACAGACTCCGGGATGGGCCTCTGAGGCGTGTTCCGCCCAGCTGCCGCAAGGCTTCACCAACTTTGTGGAGCCCAGACGTGGCTCGATCCGGGGTTCGTCGCAGGGATGTAGGGTGAGGATGAGGTGGGATGAGACAGGGTGAGGTGGGATGAGGTGGGATGAGATAGGATGAGGTGGGATGAGACAGGGTGAGGTGGGATGAGGTGGGATGAGATAGGATGAGGTGGGATGAGACAGGGTGAGGTGGGATGAGGTGGGATGAGATAGGATGAGGCGGGATGAGATAGGATGAGGTGGGATGAGGTGGGTGAGGTGGGATGAAGTGGGATGAGACAGGGTGAGGTGGGATGAGGTGGGATGAGATAGGATGAGGTGGGATGAGATAGGATGAGGTGGGATGAGGTGGGTGAGGTGGGATGAAGTGGGATGAGACAGGGTGAGGTGGGATGAGGTGGGATGAGATAGGATGAGGTGGGATGAGGTGGGATGAGGTGGGATGAGACAGGGTGAGGTGGGATGAGGTGGGATGAGGTGGGATGAAGTGGGATGAGACAGGGTGAGGTGGGATGAGGTGGGATGAGATAGGATGAGGTGGGATGAGGCGGGTGAGGTGGGATGAGGTGGGATGAGATAGGATGAGGCGGGATGAGGTGGGATGAGGTGGGATGAGACAGGGTGAGGTGGGATGAGGTGGGATGAGATAGGATGAGGTGGGATGAGGTGGGTGAGGTGGGATGAGGTGGGATGAGGTGGGATGAGACAGGGTGAGGTGGGATGAGGTGGGATGAGGTGGGTGAGGTGGGATGAGACAGGGTGAGGTGGGATGAGGTGGGATGAGGGGGGATGGTAGGATGAGGTGGGATGAGGTGGGATGAGGTGGGATGAGGTGGGATGAGGTGGGATGAGGTGGGATGAGGTGGGATGAGGTGGGATGAGGTGGGACAAGATAGGATGATGTGGGACGAGATACGATGAGGCGGGGGGTGGGACAGAGGGTTAAGAGATGGTGTAATTTGGCCAGAGTTTTTCAGCCAAAGAGGCAAGAAGATGCAAAGATGACTGAGCAATCGGGAATGGATCGTGCAGAGAGTCCAACTAAGAGGGGCGGTCCCTTTCCTGGTTCATTTCCCCCCCGCCCTTGTGTCCCGTTTTCCGTATTGCTCCTTGATTCAGAAACCGTTTGTGAACCAGGTGTCCCTGTCTTGCTAGAGTAGAATCCCCCAAAAAAGGACTGCCCGGAAAGAAACATAGGTTGAGGGTTGTAAATCAGGGTCGACAGTACCCGCTGACCCTGGCATGGAATGAATGGGCCAGGCAGAGGTATTACACGGAGAGGGAGGCGTTTCCAGGTCGAGATGTTTCATCGGCGTCTCAAAGTCCGCCACTCCTTGCCCTGGTTGACTTCATGCTGGCTGCCTTCTTTCAGCGACCAAGGAAGTACCCCTTTCAGACACGCCATGTGAGCAACTGACAATACCCAAGTTCGGGAGAGCAGGGGCAGCCGACCCAACTTTGCCCCCGCAAACCGTTTTCTCCAATTGTCCATTGCCCGTTGAACAAGTGAGCCGCCACAATTAACACCCGGGTAGATGAAAGTTACAGTGCGTGTTTTTGTGTAGATACGGCTCAAATGACTGCTTGCCCCTGGCTGTAAACACCCGGCTTTCCGCTGGTCCTGTCAACACCCCGTTGGATATGAAGATTCATCACGGCAGTGGCTTTCCGCGGTAAGGTGGTCTTGTCTTAAGCCTCTACAAACGCTTCTAGATTGGCACGTGGCCAGCAGCCAACTTGTTGGGGACCTCTTGGCTTACGGGCCAGCAAAAGCAGGTTTTGGGGTCTGAAGTCTGAACAAAGCATGTTCTCCTTCGACGTGTTGCGATTTCGCGCGAACGCCCTGCCAACCCCGAGGTATGCAAGTCTTCAACATCCCGTGGCTTCCGCAGGCCGGGTTTGCTTTCCGCTCGAAGGATCGATGCATCCGGTATCGGCCACGCTTGAAAAGACAAACTGACGCCCTAAGTGTAGAAACCCTTCTGATAGAGGGGTTGCCGTTAAGGGAGAGGTCAGAAATCAGGGCTGTGGGACTCTCGGATACCGTGACACCCCTTTAACATAGCTGGTCTTCGTGACCTTTTGCCTTTGCCTTTTGGAAGCACAAATGGCTTTGCCGTCAACTTACAAAAGTTGATCGACCTTTTGCTAGCAACCCACTTAAGTGACGAATTCGCAGTTGTGAAGGCTGTTTCCCCGCAGGGAGCCCACCGAGTCAACCAGAAGACTGCACTAGTCATAGCAAGCCCACCTCAAGGTAAGCCAGGCTCACCCAGTTGCTTGGTTGGATGTGATGTTTCACATTCCTTTCACCAGGTGAATGACTTACATAGGAATGTGTGAGCCTTACACGTGGTTTCTGCCCGGCTTCTGGGCTTCCCGCGGCTTCAGCGACTCGCCAGACTCCTGTCACAAACGTGGTGCCGGGCGCCGAGTGATGCTGCCGCAGCTTTGAGAATGGCTCTCCTTGAGCGATGCGAAGGGAAGAGCGCCGGAGGCGATTTCTTGCACTGTGTCACATGCTCGTGTTTCGATTCTCCTTGCTTGGCAGTTTGGACTAAGGGCAAGTAAACCTCCAAGCCAATCAAATCACCAAAGAGTTCGTCATGGGCATTTCTTTGACCCTCGATTGAGAAAGACGACCGTCCCGCGGATTGCTTTTGAAACTCAAAGCCTTCACCAGACTGGAGCATGCCCCTTAAGGTAAGCCCGAAAGAAGGAGTGAATCGAATATGAGGAAACTACGCGTGTTTCCTTTGGTGTCGACAGGCCCAGATAGGCGACAAGGAGTGGTTCGGGGTGCCTCTGGGCGTTTTTGGGTTTCGGAAGGGTTCCGATGGCTGTTGGGGATGCTGGCTGGGCTTATTCCCTATTGGAGGTCTCAGGACCATTGGCAGGCTAACCTTAACGAGGCCTGTTTTGAGCTACCTAGAGTCTCTATGACCCTTGAAACATGGGGTCATTACGGGGTCATGGCCCCATGTCATGGAGACTCCGCGTAATCAGATTCTTGGGATTGATCCTTCAATGGAGTGACATGGGAGTGAGTGCCTGACTATACATGGCTTTTGTATACATGGCTTAAACAACATGGAAGCATTCAAGGGTACATCCAGCATGGGGCACGTGATGCCACCCCCCCACTGGATCATGACCCCTATGCAGACCGCGACTGGAGCACCATGTTGGCAACCCCCGCAACTAAGGTGTAGATCCCTGTTAGGTCGGGGCAAAATAGTCGTGTTCCTTTGGTTTCCGATTTCGCCCGTCTCAAAGAGGATCTGATTGAACAAACCGTTGCGTGTTTGTTGCTTTTGGAGTTCAGGGATCTTTATGACATATGCCACTAAAGCTAAGCCTTTTCACCAGGCATCAACGAACTGAGTCGACTGGTGACTTGCACCAAGCTCCATGTCCAATTCACTCGACTGGGGCGTGCCGATTGTGGGCGTGGCTTGCCAATGGCCCGAGGCACGAAGTCAACCACTACATCCATTTCCCCACCCCGGCGCCCCCGGCGGCGCCCGCGCCCCCGTCCCTGGACGACTTCGCGCCGTCCCCCCCGGAGCAGAGCGAGATGGACAGGGCGAAGGAGCTGCAGTGCGGGGCCAAGACTTGGCTGGCCGCAGGTGTGCCCGAAGCCCCTTAGACCATGTCAAAACAAATCGGCTTGACCAACTGCACCCTACAAGCGGTTAAATATAGACCTGTTGCAAGCTCAGGGTTCCGGGGGGAAAGAAACCAGAAGACAAGGGGGTACGTAAGGTGGATGGGCAAAATTTGCCTCGCACCATCTAGGATGGATGAAACCCTACAAATCCCGGGACAATTTGCCAACCAACTTGTAATCAGAGCGAAGGCCCAGATCCTTTACTTGGAGGATTTTTTAAATGTCGACTTCATACAGTAAGCGGGGTCCCCCCCTCAACTGTTTGTTTTTTCTTTTCTTTTCTTTTTTCCCGGCCAAAGTACGGTAATAAACAACAATTGTACCTGTAGTATTGCTTCTAGTACTTGTAGTACTTGTAGTAGTAGCTGTAGTACTTGTAGTAGTCCTTGTAGTACTGCTTCTAGTACTTGTGGTAGTGGCTGTAGTAGTACTTGTGGTACTTGTAGTAGTGGCTGTAGTAGTACTGCTTCTAGTACTTGTACTACTTGTAGTAGTGGCTGTAGCACTTGTAGTAGTACTTGCAGTAGTCCCCCCTCTTAACCAATACTTAGTTCTTCCTAGGGGTCGCTTTGGCGTGTTTATTAATGTGAACCCTTTTTACTAATGCGGGTTTGGGGAGCTTGTGTGGGGTACCTCACGCTGGACTGTTGGGGCATCACTTTTGTACAGAGATTTCATTTTTCAGCCACACTTCCCCGGGCATGTATGTTTTTGGAGACCTGAGGTCTGCTGGGGAGGCTCTGAAGGTTCCAGTTCCATAATTGCCTTGCCTGGTGAGCTGCGCACTTGTTGCATGTGTCTCTGTGCCATCAACTTCTGCACGCTACCTGCTTACTTTTGAATCATGTCAGACTGGTTTGGTCCCTGTTAAACAACAACACTTGTTTGGCTTGCCCCCGCGTTTCGGGGAGATTTATTAATGTGAGTTCTTTGGGTGGTTTATTAATGTTGTGCTTTGGAGGGTCGACTTGGGGGGCGGTGTTGTATGTTTGCAATTAACGTTTGAATTAGCCCCTTCTTAATTTAGTATTGGGTGAAAATTATTAATACGGGCCCAATCATCAAGCTTAGGTTGACATTACCTGACTTGGCTGCTATATGTGTTGGATATTTAGCCTTGCTTGTGGAGACGGTGTGTGTGTGTGTCTCTGTGTCTCTGTGTGTGTCTGTGTGTGTCTGTGTGTCTCTGTGTGTCTCTGTCTGTCTCCGTGTGTTTCTGTGTGTCTGCGTGTGTCTCCGTGCGTCCCTGTGTGTCCCTGTGTGTCTCTGTGTGTCTCTGTGTGTCGTCTCTGTGTGTCTCTGTGTGTCTCTGTGTGTCTGTGTGTGTGTGTGGGTGTGTATTTGTGTTTATGTTTGTGTGTTGGTGTGTGTGCGTGACGCAGGTATGAACAAATTCATGTAGCTGAAGTAGTCGTGATTTACATACATATTTCATATTCCTTACTTGCAGTTTACGCAATGGTTAGGGAATGAACCATAACAATCATGCCGTCTTGTGAGTTTGCCCATATCCATTTCCTCCACTGTCAGCCTCATGACAAGACGCAAAGGGTAGCCTTTGCGTGCGCTGCGCTCCTGCTGGCCTTTGGTATGGGGGACCCATGCGAGGGGTTCTAACACGAGGGTTCCGATAGTTTGCGCCAACGGACCAGCATGTGTATCATCCAAGAATAACTCATTTGTTTGGAGCCCTCCTGCTTGGGAAAATGGTTGGTCCCCGCCCAAGTAACAAACATATGAAGTGTTGCCAGGGTTTGTAGCCATCGAGCTTCAGGCAACAAGAGGCTGTCGTCTACAAGTCATCCTCTGATGGTGACCCAAGAGCGAACTGTCAGAGTGACGTGATCGCCGTACGTGATGGTAGGGTTCCTGGGGTTGCTGTTGGGGATATGACCTGGGATTGCTGGTATTTTGTGTTGCTTGAGACACCTCGATTTTGGTCGCGCCCCACTCGGGGTTGACGGGGATGTCCTGCAGGGGTGCATCCACAGATTGACCACATGGGTATGTGTCAAAGTAGAGATTTGGACTCCACAAATGGCTGGGTGTTCCTTTTGGTGTCATTCCAAAACAACCTTACAAATGCGGATTGAAGCCACTTACCATGGTTGCAAGTCCGTGTTCAGTGGGTTATACCCAGGATCACTGTCCACTTAGCCAAGTCCTGAACCGTCTAAGTAGTCCCAAAAAAGCACACACACTCACCCACAGCCGTTTTTCAGAGGATTGCGGGCCCAATGGCTCGCATGCGTCCTCGTGGAAGGCTTTCTTGCAAACGTGTCAAGTAATTTTACTGTCCAAGGGAACTACTCCCTAACAAACCAAAACCAATACCCAAAACCAGACTCCTCGCGTGTTAGGGAAGGGGGTCGCTTGAAATATTTACCTCGGCTTGACCCCCAAACATAATATGGTTGACTCTGTGCATAGGTATTTGGTGAACCTTAGAATGCAACACAACGATCCCAGATAGTCCCTTGTGCGGTTCCACTAAATGGGGCCCAAACTGGTGATGGTGTCCTTTGTGATTTGCGAGTTGCTTCTTTAAGCACCGGAGTCGGACCTTCCGAATGGGAGAGGATTCGATTAGTTCCCTGCAAATTTACATGGGGTCCGAAGGTGCCCCTTTTTGGGTTGTTTCACTGGGAAAAAAACAAGGAATCCGACGGCGATGTTGCGGGTTCCGAATCCTACATGGAGACAAGCCCATGTTTCCCTGGAAGCACCAGGCATTGCAGTGACTCCTGGCGATTCAACTGCTTCCCCGCCCTAGCCTTCGACTTTTTTGACTTTTTGACTGTTTGGAGGATGTTTTTGACATATCCCATTCAAAGTTAACGCTTAATGGATCAACGAACCGCTACGGCGTCTCAGCTGATCCAGTTCCGGTGGGGTCGGGATCCTAAAGCCTCGAGGAAACACCCAAGCTTTGGGTTCAAGAATTGGCGTGGCAAGATGTCCCGGACCCGCCAGGGTGAAACGGCCACTCTCCAAAACACGCGCGCGCCTTGAAATGTGAGCCAAGGGAAGGTTCGGGAAGTAGTGGGAATCAACCACTTCGGTATCACAGAAGGCCCTTGTTCCACAATGCTTAGGGCCCAGATCTCCAACAATTCCTTGTGCGGGCTTTGGGTAAGGAACCTATCAAATTGTGAAACCCTTAGCCACCTAGGAAATACTACCCAGTGCTTCCAGTGATAGACAACCATCTTGCTTTTTTCCTTAGGCCCAAAATGGATGGTTTCCTCTGCCTCGACTGGGATGGCCCTAGCCCGGCGCGACCGGGGAGGTATCTGCTCCACCGTGCCGCGGCCGGTCACGAACTGGGATCCTGCCCAGCAGCTGGCCGACAAGGACTTTCAGCGCAAGGGCGAACGTCCGATTGGGGTGAGTGCCATGAAGAAGACGAGACTAGGTCCTCCAGTAGTGCCCTTTTACCGTTTCTGTTTTGGGGGAGGGTTCCCCTACTAAAATAGACAACAGAAACTCAAGGGGGGTGGTGAAACCATTGGGTCAACATGAGGTCCGAGCAGTCCTTACCCCCTTGAACCCCAGGAATCGGGAAGCCCATTGGAAGACTGGCTTCCTGGGCGGAGCATTTCAACGTGAAACGTGCCAATCCAAGGACTCTCGGGGGCGAAATAAAGGAAGCGGAGAGAAAACCTGGAGATTTCTGAGGTGAAGGATTCATGTTATCCCCTTGGCGGCAGCAGACATAGGGAACCCTGGTTCATTTGTCTATGAGGAATTATGACAATGAATCAATACATACATACATACATACATACATACATACATACATACATACATACATACATACATACATACATACATACATACATACATACATACATACATATGTACGTACGTACGTACATACATACATACATACAGACACACACACATACATACATACATACCTACCTACCTACCTACCTACATACATACATACATACATACATACATACATACTGACATACTGACATACTGACATACTGACATACTGACATACATACATACATACATACATACCTACCTACCTACCTACATACATACATACATACATCCATACATACATACTGACATACTGACATACTGACATACATACATACATACATACATACATACATACATACATACATACATACATACATACATACATACATACATACATACATACATACATACTGACATACTGACATACTGACATACATCCATACATACATCCATACATCCATACGTCCATACATCCATACATCCATCCATCCATCCATCCATCCATCCATCCATCCATACATACATACATACATACATACATACATACATACATACATAATGCATTCATTAATCACATGCATGTATACGTACATATATGTATACAGGGGTCGATACATTGAGCATTTGATTTCATTGGACGTTATTTGTGCACGGGTGTCTGCCCGTGTTTTCTTCCGGCGCAGGAGCGGGAGGCAGTGGCGATTCGCTTCGAGAGGAGGACCAGGCGTTTTGGGTCGATTTCTGATCGGATTTCACGGCGGATCGCAGTTGCAGTTGGGTGAAAGTAGATCAGAAGTGATTCCCATCGGTATGCGTCAAAATAGGGGGACCTTAAAGTGGGACCACATTGTCAAGGCCATGTTTTCTTACCCTCCCCTGTCGGTGTGCTTGGGATGTTTAAGGGTACCGTTAGGAGGTTGCTTCTTTTTGGGGGACCTAAACGAAACCATCCATTTCGGAAACTCGGAAACCGGCTGCAGTTGGGGTCCCGCCTGCATCCAAAGGGGTGCTTTTTCTCCCAGTCGGATCCGTCTGACATGATTTTAGGTTTGTGTAGGCCAAGTCAAGGGAAGCCCTGTTCCGATTTCTATACGATGTTGGTTTGACTGTCATTTATGTGTTTTCTTTTTTGACAGCCGGGGGCCGAGTTTACGTTTTGTGTTTCACTTGTTTGCTTTTGGTATACCATATGTTTTTTTTGGGTGGGAAGTCTCGGAAGAGGAGATTGGTGAGTCCCGCGAAGTCTTAACAAAAGTAGTAAAACATCGTAAATATATCACAACACAATGATAAAAATTTGGCCAACCACGTGAAAAAAAGCAAAATTGTTTGCACAACATTCTCTGCCCCCCCCCCTCCCGCAGTGTGTGCTGTTCTCGGAGAAAGGGGGCTTAACGTGTAAAGGGGAATTGTCAAACAACACATAATGCACTTTTAACAATTATACTCTTTCCACTAGACCAACAAACAGGATTTTGGGGCCAATCTTCAGGTGGACACAGTGTTGGAACTCGTGCAGGTAACCAGCCGTGTTCCTTTTGGTTTTTGAAGGGAGGCTGCTTTTGGTTCCCTATTATACATGCTTTTGGGATGTCTTCCAACTCCAGATTTTGCCGGTCATTTGGCGACTGGCCTCGCCCACTGAAACCTACAGAGATCATGGTCATACTTACCAGGTAGCCGTCCACCGGCGGATCTTTGTGGGATATCCACCCGTAGAGCGGGACATTTGGGTCACTCAAAGCATCACGTTGACCGCCGATGAATGACCCCTATAGTGATTCGTTGGGGGGCTGTCCCAGCGACCGTGTGTGCTCCCTTCGACCTGGAGTTCTGGCCCCAAACAAATGAGCCCCGTTTTAGCAATCTCCTTCTCTTGATCAAATAAGGAACTCACCTCCTAAGATTGGGCCGAAAATACCTCCCACTAAAGTCAATTATCACGATGACATTTATGGCCCAGAGGTACATGAGGTAGGTTCTCATGTAGTCAGTTGCATGTTGTACATTCAAGTGGTTGCCAAAGCATGATCCAATCACTGCTTTGGCTCAAGTGCTGAAAACAGCGCGTTGCACCGCGCTAGCCCCAAGGTTAAGGGAGAGGTCGCAGTCACGGAGGGGTTCGTTCCTTTTAAGGTCCCGGGTTCCCCCGTTGTTGACAAAACTGTGTTTCCCTCTCCTTTGAGTGGTTATCAGCCGTAACGCTTTTCGGGTAAACGAACCCTTCCGTGACTGCGACCTGTTGGTCGCACATGGAAGTCGGCCCTCACCGCGGCACACGCGGTGGGAAAGGGCCGCGTGCCCGATTGTACAACACTCTGCAACAGATCGTCGTCGACGAGTACAAGCGGCAGAACAGACGATTCCGGTGGGTCAGATTTGCGGACGCCTCGAAGCAACAGGTCGAGGCGCTCTTCTCCTGGCGTGAGTCACTGGATAGTTGGCACCTGTGGAATTTTGACCAAGAAGCCTTCGACGTGATCCAGGCCGCGGACAACGCTTATCAGCAGCGTCTCGCATTGGTTGAAACCGCAGGAGTGGTCTTGCCGCAGGGCGTGCCATCTCAGGATCAAGCCGCAGCCTCAGGCGCGGCGGGAGCATCGAGCAGTGCAGCGGACTGGCTTCGTCCTCCGACGCCTCCATCAGCTTCCTCCTGGTTGCAAGATTCGCGCACTCCTTTGCCTCGCATTCGGCCATCTGCAGAGGAAAGACAAGCCGCAAAGTCAACTCTTCGCGGGGTATACGCTAAAGCTGCGGAAACGCGGCGGGAGAGCAGCAGGGAGCGATCAACACAAAGATCGAGGTCCCCATCGCCAAGAAGGTCGAGGTCTCCATCAACATCACCGAGACGAGGACCAACTGCTGCTGCCCCTGTGGAACCACGGGCCCATAGTGTTGAACCCGCGCTTGCGCGGGAGGGAAGGCCATCCAGAACTTCCCTAGCCACTCGGCCCATTGTTTTGGCTCCACAGAATAGCATTTACCCTGTGACGAGGTTTGACGAACACGGTACCTGGGTATTGGTGCGGGAGGCATCACAACCACGTGAAGCGGCTCCTCGTCGGCGAGCGCAACGGACGTCTGGGCAGCTTCGCCAAGCCGATCCTTACCTCCTCGCTGACGAGACGTGGAGGGACCCGCCAAGGAGGTCCTCCACGAGCTCACGCTCACGGTCTCCTGACCGCCGCCCGGCGCCTGCGGAAACCTTCCGCCTCGACGCCTACAGCTCGGACGAGGACCCACCGCAAAACTTGGAGTCCATCAGGACGGGCAGGTCAGCATACGTGCCTCGGCGCGTTTACGAGGCGCCGACTCACTCCGAGCCCATCGCGCTTCACAGCCGAAGAATCGGGGCAGTTCAACCGCCGCCCCCAAAGGCCGCTCCCAAGGTCATCTTCGGCAGCAAGCCACCGTTGCCCAAGGAGGTCCCCAAGGCAGTTTCTCCAGCGCCTGCAAAGGCAGACATCCCGAGGAAGTCACCGCCAAGGGCCAGATCTCCGGTTCGGACTCAGAGTGCATTCGGGTACAAGGCACCTCCGCGAGGCTTGAACAAGGCCGAACCCAGAAGCAAATCGAGCTCAAACCCGCCACAATTCGGGTACATCGTCAAGCCGCCACCTCCGCAGGTCGTTCAAGCAGCTGCTGCTAGCGCTGCAACTCCCGAAGCTGGCACGCGATTCCGCTCGCCACCAAGGAGGGCACCGCCTGCGCCCCCGCCGCCGCCACCTCCGCCTGGAAGGCCGGTGCCGCCCAAGGAGCTTGTTGTTGCTCTTGACTGGCACGGAGTTCTTGACGTTGGGCAGCAGGGACCCCACCTCAACCCGGAAGTGATCCGACATCTCGTTCAGTTTGCAGCGGACTACGCACCTATAAATTTTATAGTGCTATCCTTCGTAGGCAGGGCTGCAAGCGAGTATCGCCGCCGCGAATTTCAGGTCGCCCTGGAGCACGCGCGGACAACATCTGGACTCACTTTTTCTACGATAAAAATCGTTCACGAACGGTTGGGAAGGGGAGGCAAAGCAGACGCCCTGCAAGGGCTGGGCGTACACGCCCTTATTGACGATACAGCATCGATTGTCCGTGAAGCTCAAAAGACAGGCATCGCGGCGTTCCGCAACTTTCCGCACTTCGGTCCGAGCGGATTTGCCAACGCGCTTGAGAACCTTGGTGAGTTCATCGAGTCCCGGAACCGACAATCCATTCCGGCGGCAAGGGGCCTGCATCCATCGCAGTACCTCGAGGAGATCCACCGATCTGCATCCCAGCTGCCCGCCAGCCGGGTACTTCGATAGCCATTGCTGCAAGCCGTTAAAACCGTCGCTTTGCGCGGTACAGCTTTTGCAATTACAAGCCTTCGATTTGCAGACAAATTCTCAATACAGCTTGGCAACATCCCTCGATAAAGCACCATAGTGCGGCAGTGCGGATCAATCAATCTACAAGTACAATTACAAATACAGAATTCATCAGGTGCAAAGCAGCAGGGCGCATTTTCTTGAGTGGCTCACTTGAGCGTTTCGCAACGTATTTTCTTGAGTGGCTCACTTGAGCGTGTCGCAATCAGCTGCCAATCCAGGGATATCTCCTCGTAGCACCTTTTGACACGCTGCTCAAAGCGCGTGGAGCTAGCTTCGTGTGAGTGCAAAAGTTGCATTGCTGTGTCATGGCTTCAACGGGTTTGTCACCGCCATCAGAACCCCGTTCAAGGTCAACCCCAAATAGGGATTCCGAACCGGATGACCCTGACCTAGCCATGGTTCCTGCAGTTATGTCCACAGTTCGCACATCCACACCTCAAAGAGCAGCCCAAACACGACCATCATCACCCCCGAGTGGTCCGATCGTGTCAGAACCGACATCATCCGAAGCTTCCCCAGCCATTCAGTTTCCTTCACAGGGATCGCAATTACCTGACCCGATGACTAACGTACCCGCTGCGGCATTTATAGCTGGAGCTGCGGTGCAGCAAGCTCATCGAGCATCCGACCTCGCTGCCCAGGCAGCCAATCACGCCTTGCATCAACAGCAGGCCGCCGATCAGGCGAGACAAGAGGCCGGATGGATCAGGGAAAGGGCTGTAAGAGAAGTTTCAGACGTTAGGGTTCAGGCCGCTCAGCTAGCTTCGCAAGCACAGCAGGCTGTTCAAACAGCACAACAAAGTGAGGCTCAGGCTAGGCAACTCATTGAGCAGACACGACAGGAAGCCTTAGGCCATGTCGAGAACGCACGACAGGTTGTTAATGCCACTCAACAGGACGCTCAGCAAGAGGTTCAACGCATTGTTCAAGAGGCTCAACAGGCAATCCTACAAAGGGAGCAAACCATTGCCAGTCAAGAGCATACCATTCGTGGATTGTCTCAGGAAAATTCTGTGATGCATCAACGACTTGGTGATCTCGAACGTGTTGTTGCGCAGCTCACCCAACAAGCTCGTGCGACCCCTGTTCCGATGCAAGAGTCCCCGCCAAAAGCCGCATCAATAGCCGAAACAGCTACGGAAACAAGCGCGGCTAAAGCCTCAAGTCAAGGCACAGTTCCTCCAGGAACCCATCAGCCGGTTGGAGCACCTCAGGTTTCACATTCACAAGATGCCTCCGGTGTTGCCGCATCGTCGCAAGGGAATGCTTTTCCAAGTATTAACCCCGACCCTCCGTGTGGTTCTGTTCAAAGTTCAGGACTTGGTCACGATGCCCCAGCTGATTCAAGGGACCCGGGTGGAAT